GGAGTTCAATCCACCAAGTGCAAAGTCATGAAGATTGGGGAAGGGCAAAGAAGGCCGCAGACGGAGTACAGTCTAGGGGGTCAGAGACTACAAACCTCACTCAAGGAAAAAGGTCTTGGGGTGAGTATAACACCAGGCACATCTCCTGAAGCGCACATAAACCAAATAACTGCTGCAGCATATGGGCGCCTAGCAAACCTCAGAACAGCATTCCGACATCTTAATAAGGAATCGTTCAGGACCCTGTACACCGTAGTAGCGATCAGTGAAGAGGCGGGGCCAGGAGCTCGGACTCGACCCCCGCAACCTCAACTAGGTGAGTACAACTAGGTGAGTACACACACACACACACACACACACACTCGAGCAGAGCAAAGTTACTGATTATGGGATATTTCAACCACAGGGAGATTGACTGGGAAAACTTGGAGCCACACGAGGGTCCCGAAACATAGAGACCCAAGATGATGGATGTGGTACTGGAAAACTTCATGCATCAACATGTTGGGGACACTACCAGAGAGAGAGAGAGACAGGGGGAGGGAGATGAACCAACAAGACTGGACCTCGTGTTAAGTCTGAGTAGCTCAGACATTAAATAATAGGTAGGTGTGGGTCAGGTCATAGGAGGGTGTGAGGCAAGCCAGGTAAGGGAGTACTGCAAATTCCACATACACACTCATACACCACAACACACAATTCCACCTACTTTTCAGACACTTACTAAACCCAAATATAGTTCCACACACCAAAACACCATACACAACACACACACACACACACACACACACACCAAAACACACACACACAAAAAAAAAAAAAAAAAAAAATGGGTGGCTTAGAGGCGGGAAACCGAGATTGGTGGGACGAACCCAGGGAGGAAAGGGACTGGGAGCTAGAGCTCCAAAAAGGGAGGAAGGGTGGGGAAGGAGATAGTAGCTTGGTAGAAAATGGAGAAGCGGATAGCTGAAGGTGCAGGAAGGAAGTACAGGTTCTTGGGCAGCGAAGCTAGGGATACAGTGCTTAGAAGAGAAATGAAAGTTTAAACAGATTAGGAGACAATGCCCAATTCAGGTGTGACATCAGGAAATTCAAAGTCAGGCGCAGACAAGGGGATGGTAAGCAACAACGGGACATGCCGAACATGAAGGCCCTATCAGACCCACGTGGGGCCAGGAAAAGACGACGAGCACACTAAGATCAAACGACAGGTCCGAAGACAATGAAGGTTTGCTATATGCAGAGATTCTAACAGCCAACTGCAGTAGCAAGGGACAGTGGTCAGGAAAGACAGTCCACTGAGAATAGAAGTTTCAGATATGACGGGGGACTGAAGGCAAGAACATGTCAATGGAAGGAAATAAAATGCCTCAGAGGACGCAGATGGAGACTCAGTGGGAGGGGGGAAAGGGCGAGGTCAGTTTTTGTGTACGGGCTCCAAGAAGCCAAGGGGGCCAACTTTAAAGAAATAAAACAGGAGGAGAAAAAAATGATAGAAGGCATCATGAAAACAATAGGGGAGGGCAATATGACCCAGGTGACAAATTTTCAGAGAATTGGGTGGTTTGCGAGTGGAAGGATCGGCCTGTCAGAGAAACTTTCAAGGAAGAATCAGTTCGAACCAGGATTCTGCAAGAGAAAGCAAGACTGAGGGACAAAGAGGGGTACCAGAGAGTATACCTCGACCGCGACAGAACACAAGAAGAAAGGACTACACTGAAAGAGAGGGTACAGAAAACGAAAAGGAGGAACGAAAAGCAATGAAAATGAGCAGGACCGGGACACGGGGAAGGGCAAACACACCCCACAGAATCTCCCACCAAAGACTCCCCGCGACTTTCCCCAACGCAACTGAGCAACCTATACTACAACCCACTCACTGTTCCCTCTGCCACCAATCCCCATATCACAAACATCACCCCAACAGCTGCCCCTTATGGGCATTCGACCCCACCCCTCACAACACAAACCCCACCTACACCACAGCCCCATATAGGCCCCCCACAAGGCTCTCGCTCCCCAACCCCAATATTCTGGCATGACCACAATGATAGAAAGAAGCAAAAGGTTTGGTCACAAAACGGGGGATGGAATAATAAATAAACATGAGGAGTGGAATGAAAGAATCAGTGAAAAATCCCCAGACATCATAGCAGTCACAGAAACAAAACTCGCTGAGACAATAACAGACACAATCTTCCCAACAGGATTATCAGATCCTGGGGAAAAGATAGAAGGAAGTAGAGGGGAGGAGGGGTTGCATGCTCAAAAAACACGATGGGGATTTGAGGAAATGGAAGGCATGGACATGATTGGAGAAAGAGACTACATTGTAGGTACAATTCAGCCCGGGAAAGAACATAAAGTAGTCATTGGAGTGATGTATAACCCCCCACAGAAATGCAGGGGCCAAGAGAAGAGTACGAAGGAAAACAACAGGGTGATGGTGGACAAATGGCTGAGGTTTGGCAAGAAAGAGCTCACTCGAGCAGAGCAAAGT